CAGACTGCGACCTTCAACGTCCGCAAAGACACGCGGATTTCAACTTTGGTTTGACCGACTTTGGGATCCGGTACGCACGCACGCTGAACCCCCCCTTGTTGCCATAATAAATTCCACTATCCCTCCCCCCCTCCCCCTCCAATTTTTTTTGCCATAATCTGTATATTGCATAAATAACATGAAAAAACTTTGAGCATTTTTGCAATATTATGTCTCTCATCAAAACATCACAAAGCCAGACACTCAGAGTGTGCCACGTTTAGCCACACGACAACAGCAAAGTTCAAAGTTCCAACAGCAACATCGATGACGCAATTTCTACATAAGTCGTCAAAAGGGTGTGACCTTGAGCAAAACATGTCACGTGGTATCAAGAGTGCTTTAAAAAGTAAAAATGGTCATCCCACCGCATTGATGGCCTCTTTGCAAAAATAGAAGATGTAGAAAGTAGTAATGCAATATAACACATTTCCTCACACGTAGCTTATAAAGCACTTTTCTTTCATTTGTAGGTTAGTCTGAGTCTTAGTAAGAGTTTTACAGCACTCGCAACACAAATAGGCCATACAAATGCCAAAGTTTAGAGGTATTACTAAAGAACAATATAAAAAAAGGAGAGGATAGATAAGGACAATAGAAGTTTGATAGGAAAGAAGGAGCAAACCACACCAGAGCGCCCGCCAAATATGTTAGCCATTACAATACAATCATTCCCATCTCAATTTTGCTTTGAATAAACCTGTCATCTTGACCCTTTATTCCTTCTGTTTCCCTTGAGAAATATTCTCCTCTACAAATGCACTGCGACATCGTCACACAATGACCATTATTATTGCATAATTATTGTTTATTGTTATTATGTTATTATTGCTATTGTAGTTATCATTATTATATTATTAATGTTATTGTACTTATTATTATTATCATCATTTTATTGTTACTTATAATATTATTATTGTTCTTATTACATTACTACTGTTATCATTATTATTACGTTATTGCTGTTATTATAATCGATTTTACTATTTTTATAAATATTCTACCATTGTTATTGTTACCATCATCATTATTGCTGTGAACATACCTGGCTGCTCCGGGCTGGGTTTGGGCTCATCCTTCAAGGAACCAAAGAAACTGCCCAAGTTTTCCTCCACAGTGTGAATATCCATGTCCACCTTGATGTCATCCTGAAAGAAACAGTACTGACATTACTAAAATATCTTTCTTTTTTTTTTGCGGAAACACTTCTTTTATAAGAATACTTACTACTCAATACATGTAACTACCAAAAGAATTTATAGACATGGTGAGAGTCCTTTAGATTGTGGTCTTCTCTACGACCTGCCCATAACACTCCCC